CAACAAAGAATGAGGAACTTTCATTAAGATGATGCTTTGTGATATAGATTTGTGCTGAAAAAGGGAAACTAAACATCAATGATGCAACCTTAAACATGTAGAGCAACTAAATACAGGTTTTCTGCCATTAAAAAAACACATCATGAAGATGCACTTGCAAACCATTCTGTTCATAAACACTCTCCATGGGTTTATTCAGCACTTCCTGTTGTGTTTTTGTTGTTTTCGCAAACAGCAACAGGCTGAGGTGTCTTGGGACGAAACTCTGTTTAAGAGTAACCAAGCCTGGGTAATGAGGCGTGTGATTGGTCCCCGCCCTCCTGGACAAGGCCACTCTTTGGAAGACATGATTGATCACGACAGCAGCACAATGGTGGCCTGGTGTCAGAGGGGTGGCATGGGTGCACACAGACCCCCCGCAGCAACACTCACCCAGCTCAGTTATAAGCAGTTACACAACATGTATGCAGACACGTATGAGTACAAATACATCAAGGCTATTAGAAGTAGTAAATGTTGTACAAATCTTAAAGTACGTCTAAACATGTGATCATGAAAAGCAAGTCATGTTTAATAAGCATCACATGATAAAAGATGAAAATTGGAAAACCTGGAAAAAAAAAAGTAGCTAATGCCCGCAATGTTGTATACTTGCCATTAAAATTAATCTGTCTTGCCTTTATTGGCTGCTTTATATTTTTGTTTTTGTAAACCAAAAATATTAAAAAATGTAATAATTTTAATTGTTGTGACAAAATGGCTAAATCAGTGATTTAGAGACATTTATTAATAATCGGCAGAGATGGCRTTTAGGTTTTGTTGGCAGCACAAAAACGATTGAAATAAATATTTTTGTCTTCAAATAAAATCAGCACATCTCAAAGAAAATCCTTCTTTTAGGATCACTTTTTAATCATCTTGAAACACGCCAGATTTGAATAAACAGCTGCTTTTCCAAAACGATCACATGTTCCTCCAGGCAAACGTTCCCACTTGAAAGACAACAGAGGTTTGGTCTGTTCCTTTGAAGACGCTTCTCTTCACGTGGCACTTATCATGAGGCCGCTGAACCAGCTCATCAAAGTCAAACATCAAGTTTTCATAGGTGCAAAAGAAAGAGTCCTTATAGAGGACCATTAAATTTGCTYGCGGCAGCTGCTTTCTTCGGTGGGACGCAGGTGTGTCGACACTGTCTCAATTCTCTGTAATGATGCTGTGTAGGATATTGGAGTGTACAAACAAAGCAACAAAAAGGATCAGAGCTTTGGCATGGACCAGTTCATTTTAAATTCACAAAAATGAGCTGTGTATGTCAAAATGTTGAGAAAAAAAAAGACAAAAGAAAGTTACAAGACAATATAACACTGGGGTGTGAAGAGTGCTGCAGCACCCCCTTGTTGGATGTCAGAGTACACACATTATTCAGAAATAAAATAAATATAGTTTTGTCATGCATGTGTTTCAATCTATTACTTCATAGACATTGATATACATGCCATCTATATAAAGTCATATATTTGTAAAACTTTATTAATTTCTTTTTAAAAAATCTAATAAAAATAATATGTATGTGATCATAATGATGTGGCTCATCAGGATTATAACAAGCTAATAAAGTTTATTATTTGCATAATAATACCAAATACGTCAAAACATTCAGCTCCTTCAGGACATTCTGCCTATGAATTTTGGTACTTCAGCAATTTATACACTGGTTCTTTGGCCATGTGTGGTCTCTTTGAAAACTAACAGAGCTGTCATCAACATCCTCAAAAACCCTTCAAAACAGTTAAACCTTTCCTGCAATTTACACGTGTTTATTCTTGTTCTGCTTCTATTTTACTTCTGTGTTAATTTTAGCCTTCTTCAGCTTTTATTTATTTTTCTTTTTTGCTAATTTTAGCTTCGTTTTTGCTTTTCAGTCACATTTCTGCTCTTTTCAGCTGTTCTGATTATTTAAAATGTTATGGTTTTATCAGTTTCTTTCTGCTAATTCAAGCTTTTTATTCTTCTTTCAACTGTTTTCTGCTAATTTAGCTACGGTTTTAGCTACTTTCAGCCTTTTTCAACTAAATTGACTTTTGGTGATAATTTTGGCTTCTTCTTAATTTAGCAAATGCTCTTTTTTGCTTCTTTGGGCTATATTCTTTGGATTAGATTAATTGATTAATCAGTTTTGAATTGATTCAGCTTTTTCAGCTATACATTTCAGCCATTTTCAACTTTTGTTGGCAACTTTATAACAAAACATCTTTTAAAGTATTTCAGCATTAAACATTCACACTTCATATTTGCAGAAAAAAGCTAATTCTCTTGTTTTAATACATTGTTATTGCCTGGAATATATATACTTTAATGTGATATTTTTCATTCCTTTTATTTCAGTCAYTTCTAACATTTCTTCCATACATGACAGCATAATGCCTGTGAAAAGCTTTTTTCTGTCACTGCATGTGGATAAGAAGTAAAAGTCCTGTTTTTTCTGCTTTAAGCTCCTCCAGCTGTGTGGAAGCCTTTACAGATTTACATGTTCTTCCTTAATCTGCCCACGTTTGCTTGTTTATCTGATCTTGCTGACTCTATGAAAAGACTCATCCATGTAAACATGCATTTTAAAAATCATGAAAAGGATGAGCAGGATGGCTGGAATGATGATGAAACGATTTAGAATTTGTTTTTTTCCCCTATCTAATTGCCTATGGTGGACTTATAATGAACACACCAGTTGTTAATTGGCTTACACCGCTTGTGGGCCAGGCATGTAAATTGAATCAAAGCTGCACCAAATTATTAGGATGTGGCACCCTGCCAAAAATAAGAGGCTCAGTATTGTTTTTGTTTTTGTTTTATACTATAACACAGCAGTTCTCCACCTCTTTCTATCTGACTGATCCGGCTACTGAAAAAAAAACGCATGCCAATGGAGTCATTATTGCCAGTAAAGCTGATCATATACAGGCCAAGATAAGGGGGCGTTCGTTCTATCCAGTCTGATGCTTCAAGTCATCCAGGTTTGTTTTTAACCGGACAAAAGAGCGACGCAGCGATGGAAACGCGTGACAACAATGTCCAATTGCCCCATTGTGCGCCTTTCAAAGACAGACACGTGCAACAAAGATCAGCAGGGAGGGAGGGGAGAGGGCAAGAGTTGGATGGTGAAGAGCACAGAGAGAGAGAGAGAGAGAGAGAGAGAGAGAGAGAGAGAGAGAGAGAGAGATTTAAAGATAGACACGGGTGGTGATGGAGCAGTCAGTTTAGGAGAAACTCCCCTTTCAGCACCCTGGACAGAGGCAGCGGGTGTTTTCATTGGTAAAGAGAAGCGCGTGCAGGCTCACAACATCTTTCCCACCCCTTACTGCCACCCTCCTCTCCTCTCATCCCGGGCTTATTGATGAGGCATCAAAGACAAACAACTCGATGAAGACATTGCTGTGACTTTGGACAGAGCGCTGTCAGGAGGATAAAAATACGCACTAAAGCTTCTTTTTTTATAGGAAGTTTTGCGCCCTTTTTTTATTTTTTTCATTTGGAGCAGCTTAGAAAAATGCTGCTGGAACATTCGGGATCAAGTTGTCAAAGCAGCGGAAGTTTCTCCCGGTACACTTCGGGCCAAGGTGAGACACGGTCACAACTTTGAGATGTGCGCAAAACTAAAGAACGAAGCAAGAGAGTTTGAAGTGAAGCGGTCAGAGTGAAGCAGCCCAGCAAGGCTGAAGGGCCTCCTCAGTTAACAAGCAGGAAATAGGTAATGATTTAATTTATTGCAGCAAGCAGACAGGGGTGGCCGGACTTCAGAAGGGCTAAATTGTTATAAAACACGTGACGCTAAAAGTTGCCGATGTTCCCTTTAAAAAAAMCATCTCCCCTTCAGTCAGACATTTCCCAGGCGTCTCTTTTTTTGCCCGGAGACGTTATGAATCCGTAATGAGAGCTCGTTGTTGGAGAATGGCACGAGCAGATGTTGTGCGCGTGTGCTGTGTCACCTCACACCAGCCGCCCGCAGACGTCACGGGCGCGCGGAGGACGCACAGGGAGCGAGAGGGGCGACAGACATGGGAGCAGGGCGCACATGCCGCTCCCCAGTCCAGCCAGACCCCAACAGGTGTCCCATTTCTGACCCGACAGGTGGGACACCTGAGGTCTGCGGTGGGGAGAAAAAAAAAGGGTGTTCGGGTCCTCCGGAGCGAACCAGGTGGTTTATTCCCAGATAATCGAGCTGATTGGAAATTAAATAAAGACTTTATTGTTTGATCATCTATCCATATTTCCACGATCTGAGTGAGAATTTTTCTGATGGTCATTTTATGGTCCTCTTGTCACATTACTGTCGACTCACCCCGCTTCAAAAGACAGCGATCAATAAGACATAAAAATATTACAAAGCTGGAAAGTAGAAAAAATAAAGGCAAGGGTGGGAATAGGAAAGCAACCATGAACTCCACACACCTTTTTCTTAAAAAAATGCCTTTCATGTACTTTTGAAACGCAGGCAAAATGAGGGCATTGATTTTAGATTCATCAGCGGGCCCGGGGCCTGGCTGCGTGGGGCCACTACCCGTGATTTCCCCAGGCGCCTTTTTGTGCCAAAGATCAGTGTCAATAAAATTCATTGGGGTGCTGGCCCGATCAACATGTTATTGAACAGCAAGTCTCTCCCCTAAATAAACACTTGTCTCCGTCGAACTCGCAGAGAGCCACGCGTGGAATCGCGCGCCTGTGGGGAAAAGAACTGAACATTAGCCTTTTTTAAAACTATATTTTATTCTAACAATATATTGCAGGACGAATGTGTGATCAGTGTTTACAATTTTTAACAGGAGTCAGATGACAAATCTGTAAAGGGCTAAAT